ATCAATGTGATAGAGAGAGAACTCAAATCAAAAACGTACTAGTATTAGTGTTATACACTTAAAATTTGTTCGCGTCCTTTATTGCAAAGTTTTATTTAGGAACTATTTCATTCGATGTGCCTCCATTTATTAAAAATCACTCTATCATCATAATAAAAATCTAAAAGCCTATGAGGAAAATTTAAAAATTATTTGAGGAGGTGAAGGTGTGGTCGTAAAACTTTATGTGATTTAACTCGGATAGCATCGATAAGTGTGTCTATTCTATATATACAAGACTTCTTAAAATTATACTGAACATAATTACGAGAAGTTATATTCACCCATAAGCTCGCCTAATTTACCAACATCCGGGAAAACAGTAACAAATATTATACGTATGTATATTATTAATATGCAATTGTAGGGATTAAGTGAATAATATACCTATAATTGCAACAAAAAAATATGCAAATTTATTTGCTTAATCCCTACAATTGCATATAATACACGTACAACAATAATATTTGTTACTGTTTTCCGGATGAATGGTATATCTGAAAATAATTGATTTTTCATTGTTTCGTTCATTTGCAGTCGCAATTTGTTTATCATTCTTGCATAAAAACCTCTAATAAAAAATACGAACAAAAGATCAAATGGAAGTTATCGAAGAAAATACAACGAGAAGATAAATGAATTGAGAAATGAACTTTGCATGTTATTAAAAGTCAAGTATGTTTTGTTTGTTTTTGTTTCATGGAAGCAGGTCTAAAACAAGTATTAGTTAACATCATTTTTAACAACTCTTCCTATACAATATCAAAAGAAACTTTAATCTTTTATTTTTTAATTGGAAATAATTTGGAAGACAATGGCTATTTGCGCGAGATTTGGTCTATTAAATCAAAAAGACTTGATGAAAATAAAATTTCTTTGTGTTCCATCAAATGTAATAATTAAAATAATTAAATAAATATCTTAATTCGTGATTCATCATCAGTGAAGGAAAGAATCTACATAGGATAAGCATCATAGTAAAAGCAA